GTGTGTGTGTGTGTGTGTGTTTTAAGGGCAGAGTGATAGGTGGAGGATAGAGGGGGTGGAGGATGACAGACTACATGCTGACGCCAGTGTATGCGTTCTATCTCTCCCTCCTCTCTCTCTCTCTGTTGCCCCTCCTCTCTGTAGTTTATTTGGTCGTGATGAATCGGCTCGCTGCACAGCACTGCAGCAGCCACAGCACACTTTACCCATGCCCATCTCTCTTTATTACCAGGTATCTGTCTATCTATCTATCCATCTCTTTTTCTCATCCTCTAGTTAGTCTTTCTCTCCTCTTTTACCATTTGTATCATTCGTTTCTCTCTGGTTTCTCCTTTTATTACGTTTTCTTACTTTCTTTCTCTGGCATGAAAGTATTGGAACAACTGCAGGTGCTTCTTGAAGAAACCATAGTATAAAAAAAAGATGGAAACAAACAGATCAGAAACTGACGTCATCACCTTGTGTATTTAGGAAGCCACCATCTTCCATTTACTTGTTTGAGTGACAGATGATTGTAATCAATGACACTGGTTATTGATTGGTTGTGGTGTCATGGATGAGGTGGTCCTGTCTCCTTGTTTGTGATGTCAAATAAAATAATCACATTAAAATGTTAAAATTAGCTCTTACTTCCTCAGCTCAAAACCATTTAACTGATGAATCACAAGGTGGCTTTTATTGTGAAGCAGCCACAGGAAACACCTCAGTAAACTCTGAGTATAATCTGTACCTGCTCAATGAGAGTTTACTGTATTATTACACCTTTCTTGCTGTTTCCATGGTAACTGCAGGTGTCATCAAATCACCCAGGCCTGACATTTTAAGGATTATAAGGGTTTCTGGCGTTATACACCTCACCACTGGAATGAACCATGGCATAAAGTGAAATTGAAGACACTCGCTCCTCTGAGGGACTTTAAAGTCCTGATTAAACTCATTGATTAACAGCAACTGTGGCCAAGAGTCACAATAATGTAATAATGGTAAAAGGTAAAAGTAGAAAAGAGCCATGAAGTCATTATACAGACTTAGCCACCAAGACATACTGCTCACACAGACCATGTAAAGGTGTGGTAACGCCATATTGAGAATGAATTCAGCTTTTCATTTGCCAGAGATGAAGTACACGATTGTCAACCAGAAAAGTTTACTGACCAGAGTGACTGAGTGGTCGTTTTTAAGTTGTTTGGTGTAGGAGTAGGTTTCCTCCCCCAGGGGAGGGCCACGCAGTTTCGGAGGAGGATCAATAAATGTAAGTCAAAATACTACATTAGATATTAAAATGAGATCAGGTAAAACAGCCTAAATGTGTAATAAGGTTGAAGAGAAAGTTAAGAGATAAAGTCGTTTGGGGGGATTTTACTGTTTTACCCATTTTCCCTGAGTCAGAAACAAATAAATGCTGCAGAACAGCTGAACTCAGAGGACCTTGTTGAGTATTTGGTGCAGTACGAAGTCAAATAACAATATAAGGCCACCTTTGCTCAGATATTACGTGTGTATGGAATGACAACATGATCATGGGCCTACAGGAAATAATCAAGAGACCTAAGGTGAGGGGGGGATGAAGGCCCACAGACTTACATATCCTCGACTGTAGGATACATCATTTGTTTTCAGGTCTCTTGAAAAACGATCTTGATTATAATTAGACTCCCTGAACAGATAAAGTTTTACTGAAATACACATAAAACCTATAATGTTAATTGACTTATTTGTAGTTGTCAACTGTTTTGTTTGTTTGTTTGTTTCCGAATGTATATTATAATATTTTTACTGGATGTTAAGGTTGGTTTATTTCTTTCATGGTCTGAAAATTTGGATAAATTCTGTTATTAAATTATAATTTATGACTTAATAGTGCACTGAAAGCTTAGATAATGAGGTTATTATACATAAATTACACATGCTGTTATTTATTACTTACAAACCCTTATTATATAGCTTTGCGATGCATTTAATATGCATCACTGCACAAATAAAACCACAAAATTGTAAATACGGATTAATCGAAAATGATTAAATATTTCATCCTTTAATCATACAAACATAAAGAGAATTAGAGACACAAACACTGTCATTGGTGAATATTACTATTGTCACAATGACTTGTGTTTCAGCTGATCATCGTCCAACCACTCTTATGCAAACCCTTGTCACATTCTGACAAGACAACATTGGTTTTAATGTAGACGATAAAAGGATCAGATCTATTTAATCTGACAAGCTCTCACTCTCAGTCATGATCTGCTCTACATGGCTGATTTTACTGAGTCCTACAGTTCTACTCTTCTGCTACCACACATGACTGTGGCATCTCTTTCCCATAAACTAGGCTATAAGCCTAGTTTATGCTTCTGTGTCACGTCGACGCCGTAGCTACGGACGCAGACCCCTACGCCGTACGTGCGCCTCCCAAAAATCCTAACTACGCGGACGTCGACGGGGACCGTAAGCGCTGTGATTGGTCCGCTCAGAACGTAAGTTCCGGCAGTTGCTTTTCCGGTCTTTCTTCCTCGTCGTAAAAACCAACTCCGCAAACGTTTTCTTTGTAGCTTGCGCTTCAACATTTGCAATATAAGCATTTGTTCTTCAATATTGATGAGCTCCAACAACAAAAACAGCTGCTCCACCTCGGTCGCCGTTGTTTACTGTTGTTTACTTTACGGAAGAAAAAGCGAGGATTCGGCTATAACCACACAAACACACCGCTACACCCCCTAGCGGCATGGCGGTGAATTGCAGAGCAACGCGTTCCCTCGACGCAGAACTTCGAATGCTCAACGACTGACGGCGTAGGTACGGCGTCGACGTGACGCAGAAGCATAAACTAGGCTGAGTGAGTATCAGATGATGCTGTTTCTGCAATTCTGACCTTAGTGATCTGTCAGTCAACAGACCCTCTTCATAACAGACAATTTAACTTGTCATAGTTGTTTATGATTATAATAATGATGGCTGTGTTGTATTCAAGTGTCCCGGTTAGCCACGAGTGTGACAGGGAGCCTGCACGCCTTTTTCTACTGTGACATCTCAAATAGCCTCAGTAAAAATAGCCTTGATATTTGCCACTCTTGAAAATGATGAAGCTCAGCGTTTTCTGACCTCCACACCGACCTTCATACCTGCTCCCGATTCTTTCATCCAGCCCTTAGTGTACTTTTGTGTACAAACACAAACATCTAAAGATGATGTTGAGTTCTATAGGTTTCATGGCCTGCTCCCTGCAAAATCCTGCATTGCAGCTTATCTATACTGGCTATCCTTTGAGGGGTCACAGGGGGACTGGAGCAAATCCCAGCTGCCACTGGACAGGATGCAACCTGGACAGGTCCCTATAGAGCGTCGACATAAAACAAACATTCATTCAAACTCAGATTCACACCTACCGCCAATAAAATGTCCTGTTATCCTAAGGAGTTTATCTTTGGATTGCGAGAGGAATCCAGAGTACTTAGTTGGACTTACTTGGACTAAATTGGGGTTTGATCACATTGCTGTTTTTAAACAGCTCGTGCCAGTAATCGACTTCTAGGGCTTCTAGGGCTCGGTCGGGTTCGGGCAAAAAATTGCAGCCTTAGTCAATCTCTACTGCAGAGCCACAGTTGAACACTTCATTATAATACTGCTCTTAGTATTCGGCCCAATAACCATTACCAATTATCTGCATGCAGCAAAACAGAGCATTAAAGTTAGCATTTAACCGTATGCATTGTATTTCAAATGCAATAAATGGATGAGTGAATGTATATATTAACGTTTATTTTGCTTAGCGTGAACATTTACTCAAGTCAAACCAACAGATTCAGCTACAGGGGTTCTGTTACTCAACAGTAGCATGCTGCTTACACACTCATGCTTCAGTATCAATGTCATATATAGGGACCAAACCTTGACTTTGTGTTTTTTACCACACACACACACACACGCTGCTGCCTGATGACTGAGTACATGTGTTTGAGCCAGCAGATTCTAAAACTCCTTTTTATTTTCACCTGCGTTTACATTGTAAAAAGTAGCTGAGCGCGTATATACACTTTACCTCGCAGCACCTTCCTTCATTCTCATTGAATTACATACAACCACTGCTGCTGACGTTGGCGCCACCCAGCAGCTCTACTGCAGCAGCGGGGGGTTAAGTGCCTTGCTCAGAGGGGCCCTCAGGTAGAGAGGAGACAGGAAAGAGTATTTCACTTAATTTCAGTGTAATGTTGTATTAGAGCATTAATCATTAGAGTGAACAAACAAGTTTTGAGGCATTTTTGATAATCAATTAATCATCAGAAAGTTTTCCGCTCAACCCAGGTGAAGATTTGATCCTTTTTGTGTCATTGCAAACTTAAATTCCATTTTACATTGTTTAGCAGTTATACACATCACAGACCGAACAAGAAATGAATCAAGAGAATAAACCATCTTAAGTTGCAGCCCTGCTGCTATTAGAAACAGTCCTGAACTTTGACCTCTAACTTATTATCTCGATAATAGAAGCACACATGAACACATGCACATACACGCACTGAGAGAAATACACTGTGAAACAGCCAAAAAGCATCTCAGTACTTTAACAAATCCTCTCAGTTCATCCTCACTCTTCTTTGTCCTCTCTTCTTGGTGTGTGTGTGTACATGTGTGTCCTTGAATTGGCCCACTTTTCTCTCCTTTTCTCAGACATTCTTCATTTTCACAAATAAACTTCATGTCCTTCACTTTGTCTTTTCATGTCTGTCCCTCCTTCTCTCCGTCCCCACCCTCTTTCTCTCCCTTTCTTCCCCTCCATGTCTTGCTTTCACAACAAATACGCATTTTCCCCTCTTACCTTATTTGTGTCTTTAATTCCACTCTTTCTCCCAGCAGTAACACATTCAGTCCTCTCATCAGCTTTTTCATGCTGTATACTCCTCATCCCTCTTTCTTCTCTTCTCTTCCTATGGCAACTTTTCCTCCTCTCATCTGCTCTCTTCAACTCCCCCTAAGCTTCTGCCCCATCACCTTCCTCCCTCTCCAGCTTACTCAAACCTCTCTCTCTTCTTTCCTCTCTCTCTCTCTCTCTCTGGCACTCTCTCTCTCTCTTTTTCAAGCCAGTAGTCAAGAGGCATGTGTGTGTGTGTGTAGGTATGATTGTGCCAGCTGGAAGTCTTGAGAGGAGTGAAGAGAGTGTGTGTGTGCAGAGAGGAGATGCAGCCGCAGCAGCAGCAGCAGCAGCAGCGCAGTGTAAGCATCTCCACACACAGACTTGGATGTCTACACTGAAGCCAGACCGGCAGCATTTCCAAAACCCACTGAAACACGCAAACACCCATAATATGGTGCTAATCTCGTCCCTGTCGCATTCAAATACTGCAGTGAGAGGGGAGGAGAACTGGGAGTGCAAAAATTTGTGTGTTAGCATTGTGCATTTTGTGAAGATTACCAAAAGTATTCCATATTAGAAAGTAGTGGCTATTGTCTCAGCCAATCATGCAAAAAACCTTCATGACATTTCACAGGAAACTTAATTGAAATTGTGATCACGAGTGTGTAAAAGCCTGTAGTTTACCTGAGGCAGGTTCATTTTTAAATGCAGTCTGGACATTTTTGTCACTCCGATTCCTTTTTTTTTTTTTAAAGAAAACAATGATGATCAGTTGCATCTTTTATACAATGTTATTTACACCAAAACCTGATTACCAGTCCAGGACCTGTGTGTTTCAGGGAATAGTGTGTATCTGGACAAGTTATAATCACGTAAATTCAATCATATTGATCAGTCAACCCTTTTGGACTTAGACCTGATCTTCAGCAACTGTGTACTTATACTCAAGTGTCCCAAAAGTGTCCAAATACAGTAGATTTTTCACTTACTTATAAAAAATAAAAACTAATAATAAATGCCAGATGGATTTGGAGTCTTTAGACCGGTGTTACACTTTTCTTCAACAGGTTTTGTTGAAACATTTGATGTCAGACTGTGGATTAAGGTCAAGCAACTGACTTGGCAAGTCAACACCACAACATGGTTCTAAATGTGTCCATGAAAAAAATGTCACTATCCAAATACTTTCCAACTGCCCTGAGTTTGAGTGCAAGTGTTTATCTGACTGACCTGCAGAGCACTGTTGAGGAAGCAGCTGTTCTGTCCCGGCTCGTTGCTCAGGCCTTTGCTGGGTGCAATAGAGGTCATGGTTCTCGGGGTCACCAGCCCCTGCGCCGCACCTACTGCTCCGCCACCCGACGCAAAATAGTTCCTCTTCCACGACATCCCAACCTGGATGCCCCCGTTTCCACGGTGAGGCGGGTAAGGGGCGGGGCAGCAGACCAAGCGCCGGCCTCTATGTCACTCCCATGAGAGAGAACGAAGGAGAATGAGAGAAAAGCGGAGGAGAAGGAAATGGAGGGAGGAAGACGAGGGAGGTGGCGGCGGTAGATCAAGGAGACGTGGTGTGTCTTGAACGGGGATTTGGCACCCATACACCCCTCCCCCTCTCCAGCCGTGTTTTCACTTTAAAATCTGTCCACTTGCTGGCGCCAGCAGTCGGCTTTTTGTTTTTCTTTTTTTAGCTCCTCCGATTTAGCGGTTTGTGTATGAGGACATGAGAGCGGTTCCAAGGCGTCCTTGTGCAGGTTCTGTCAGATAAATGTTGATGAGGCAGCACTTCTGCTCCCATGTGGAGACTCCTTCAATACTTTCTTCTCGTTTACTTTGCCTGTAAGACACAAACACCAAGCTGTTAGGACTCATCAGTACCTTTAACAGGTTTACACCACACATCACCATTTTTAACGTTTACTATATTGCACAAAGTTCCCTAAGTAACATGAACATTCTTAGCACGAAAACTGGAGTTAAAGTGGAGTTTGACACCATCTTTTGCAGTGAAAGATTTACCCACTGCCGCTCTTGTTTTGATCGATGACGACATACTGACGATTCTTCTGCCATATTAATGTTTTTCGCCTATACAGCTGGTAGGGCGTTAGCTAGCTAACACTGTTAACCTAACTAAATTCAGTTTGTTATTAGATAGGAAAAAGTCATGATTACAGCAACTGACTTTTTTAAGTGTTACTGAATATTTTCTCATTTGCAATATGAAAAAGTTATATTTTATATATATATTATAGCACCAAAATTGTAGCAATTTGAAAGGTAACGTTTTGTTCGTATTTTTTAGCCCATCATTTTGGTTCTAATGCATATCCACACAGTTTAGTCTTACCAGCCACAAACAAACCCCACTGTACCGTATGTATTCAAAAGCTAAATGTTTACTCAGCGCCCCAGTGTCCATAATTGTCTGCTGCAGCTTTAATTTAACTGTTTGATTGCTTTTGCACTTTGAATCATATTTCATCGTGTATAATCTTATTCGTCAGGGTAACATTACATCAGTGCTATGGCATGGGGACGGCTAGCAGAAATCTGTCATTTTATAATCGGTACTTAGGGACTTTATCTGGAGCTTATGCTAGTTCAGCATCGCTATGGACAGTTTCAGAACGAGTGTGTGTGTGTGTGTGTGTGTGTGTGTGTG